AATCTAACGCTGATCTTAGCATTCTGCTGGCTGGGAAGTGGCCATGTCAAAGGCCAAGGCCGGCCGCGATGGGGTGACGAAAGGAAAGAATCGAATGAAGGAAATTGGGGGAATGAACGAAATGAACAAAATGAATGAAATGGCGAGAATAAACGAAATGCGCGGAATTAACTAAATGAACGGAATGAAAGCGATTCCATGTTTACAGAGATGAATAATTGTAGAAAACGAGCGGAATATGTTCCAATGCGGAAACTCATTCGCCTGCATAGTGACATGTCTCATTTGTTAGATCTTTTGGGACTCACATTTTTATCCGTGTAATGCTAGGTTTCAACAGGGGGTGGAGCCGCCAGAGTTATAATAGAACGTTTTGATATATTCATCTTAGTTTATTTATCTAGTTATTAAGTTATTTCAATTTACCTTATTTTTTTTTATTCTACATTATTCTGTTTTATTCTATTTTATTTTTTTTTATTATACTTTGTTTTATTTTATTCTACTTTTTTTTACGTTATTTTTATTTCGTGTTGTGCGGGGAAAAAATATTCTTTATGAACTGTTTCGCTAAAAAATCTGGAGCTGAATAAAGGAACACAGACGTGGACAGAATTTTTTTGTAAATTATTTAATGAATTTCGACTGCTTTTTTTCTTTCCTTTTTTTTTCTTGGAATTTTTCTTCTACATCGATATAGATCTTTACATTCTTTCTCTTAACTTTTAATAAGAATATAGGTAAATTCCCTCCTTCATTAGTTGAGATTGCAAGATATCAAACTGTAAAAAAGCAGAGAATGGCGCGGGAATCGTTTTCTCACGATAAAAGAAAAGAGACAGGCAGGTAAGAATGGAAGTAGAAATGAAAAATAAACCTGGGAAATAAAAATGGGGAATAGAAATCGAAATAGGAATAGAAATAGCAGTTGGAATGGAACTATAAATAAAGAAAAAGAGAGGCGCGAAAAAAAGAAAAAAATGTAAAAAAAAAAAAAAAAAAAACGTTTGTCATGGCAACCTTTCGGTTCCGTAATCTTTACGTAACCGTCATATATCCACCAGGGTGTTCGGAAAAAAATGGAAAAGAAAAATGGGGACGTTAAAAAAAGCTTGCAATGAAAAAAACTATACCATGCGTTCTGCTGAAATTAGACCCATAAAGGTGGTATAGCTACAATGAATATGGACGGTAATGTGTAATGACCAAATGGACCAAAAGAAAAAAAAAACATTCATTAAAGTAATTAATAATTATGTTTGGCAAATGATAGCATATTCCTCTCCTTTCTTGCGAAGTCATCTTGTTCTATATATTCCTATCACATAAACATAGTTACAAATAAGGGCGACGGAGACTCCATTCGGTCGAATTAGAGGTAGCCCATTTGACATGATAGGAGGAACAGACTTGCAATCCTATTAAAACGGGACACCGCACTTTGTTCTAACTTTTGATGTGAGCATGATAATGGGGGCAAATGGGGCTTGCCATATTTCGATCTTAGGATATGTTTAATAACAGAAGATTTTAACTTGTGCGAGACATCTCGCGCGCTCGTTTTAGCTAAGAGGACCATCATCTTCGGTGCTCACCTTGAGGAGATGGCACTCTTCCTTTCTCTCTAAACTCGTAGGATCTCCATTTTGCCTCTTCATTTAGTGCGAAGTCTTACATTGGCTTCTTTACCGACAAATTTGTTTCATGGTCCCCCCTTTAGCGGTGTCACTATTGATCATAGAATGTGTCCTTTCCAGGTCTTTGTAACGGCACTTATGGCAGAGATGCATTTTGATTTTTTCTCCATCTCGACATGTATCTGTCCTTCCTCCCCTCCCGAACACGCCAGGAATATCCAAGAGAAACTATGAGCCCGCAGCAAAAGTATAGAATATTGTACGAAAGATTATCACTCTAAAGATAATAGGCTGCTTAAGCAAGAATAGGAAAAGGGGGTGTAATAATTAGGCCAGAACGTATGTCTAATCGTACGTTTTCCTTAGTCTCATAAGTTTACCTTTCACGGGGCCAGGCTGTTGCTGATATGCAGAATTCCTGTTTATAAATATTTCTCTACAAACAGCGCAACTCTACATTTCACTGAATCCTGGTGAATTGATAACAGGGCATAGAATGTCAACCCTCCTCGTCATTCTCTGATGCGGCCGCAAACATCAGAACTAGAGAAGGATTGCTCCAACATTCCATATAGGTCTCTACATCACTGAGTCGGATGATCATGGCTCAGGTTTATCTACTACGCATGTCTACTTCAATAAGCACAAACAAGTCAACTGTACTATCTCGGGTATTTTCTTCTTCTTCTGTTTGTGCCTCACTCAACATTTGGAACAGGGCAGAGTGGACTAAACGGATACTTCAACGGCTGTATTTCTCCGATTATATAAAGAATTAATATTTTTTTTATTACTGAAAAGTGATATCGACAGGAGGTTTATAGGAATCTTCTTAAAAGTATTCGCATTAGGACATCTTTGTCCTCCTTTGAAGCCCCTTTTCTTCTTATGTTATTATTCGCAAGTCCGTTTCGTACAAATGTGAGGTTACTTCCCCTCTTGGTGAGCTTAAATGTGATGAGGGAGGAGGAGAAACCGAAAAATGCAGAGTGGGGCGTTCTGGCTCGTCTCTATGTACATGCACCACCCAAACAAATCTTTCTTTAAGTGACGAAAGAGTTATCACACTGAAATAACCTTGTAGGAGGTTAAATATTAAGAGTGTTCTTGCAGCCTTGCAAGAGGATTCCTTGCGACATGGGGGGCGCGCGTATATGCAAGGAAATATACTATATATATAGAACGTATGCTTTCTTTAATTATTTTAAGTCCTTTTGGGGAACCCTGCTATCTCAGTTTCCGCCATGCAACACGGCCCCAGTTTTGGACGGCGATGGTCGGGTCCTTACGGCACGTAGGGCTACAGAAACCTGCATGCACGAATACCCCCAAGTAGGAAACAACTTGCACATACATACATATATTTATATATATGTATATTTTTATATCTATATGGATAGGAATAAGCGGAGGCATGCCAAACCCAGGAGTATTGTATCGAAATATTCGCAACCGTATGGAGGGGGAGCAAAACAAAAGCACTTTTTCTACATATACTTAACCTTAGGAGGAAATATGGAGGGATAGAATCGGGCCTTTGTTAAAAATGGCTCAGGGAAATTCTAGAAAAACTCCTTTTAGCATGGTCCAATTCTTCTACATCCAAATCTTTTATAAAACGAAAGGGGAATAATTATGAGTACCGTGGTTTGCTTCTAGGCGAGTAGATTATGTGCATATATTAAAAATGTCGATATGCAACAGAAGGCAAGTAAATTCGTCTTGAAAAAGGTTACCCTCTATGCGGCATATGCAGTATTATATGTCAGGCATATTGGTAGCTCATTCCTATGCGAAAAATGCAAAAGTTCGGAAACGTTAGAAGTTATTTCCTTCCTTCTGTACCTCTTAGGAAACGGAGCGGGAATTATTTCCTTTCATTTCGTACATTTTGGGTTATTGCTAATTCCCCCACTTTATTCTGTCCTGTCCTTTTTTGACTCTTTTCACTGATTTCGGTCTGTTTATGCTTCTCTTATTGTGTTGGGCATAGGTTAACTCCTTTTTAATAGGTTATTATCAATTTGGCAGTTGAGGTGACAAACAGTGGTGATAATAATTAACCAAATTAACACTGCACTATTGGATTTATAATTACCACTCTGCGTGAAAAAAGAAATTCAGAAAACAAGACGTCATTTGATTTATCCTTAGAATGTTTACATCTGAAGAAAACGATTTATATATGACCATTTTTTTTGCGAAGAAAAATGAAACTTATTTTTTCATTTCGTTATTATACTATGTTTTTAATGCCATGCTATGCTCTGTTATGATTAGCAAAATGAAATGTTTTAGTATGTTCCAAAGGGGGGTGGGATAACATATTATTAGAATCATTAAAAGAGAAAATTTCTACCATAATTGGAAATTTTCGAATATTTATATATATTTCTTTCAGCAGCTAAAATAATTTAATTAGAAGAGAAATTATTCCATTTTAGGTAGTAATTGTATTCATATGTTATCACATCTATTTACAATTTCTGATAATTTCCAAGGTATCAACTTTAGTAAAATGAAAGATATACGAAGAGAAGATGTATAATATTCTAAGTGCTTATCGGGAAGGAAAAAATAAAATTTATCATCTTATGATATACATCATTTGTAGATCCATAACTATTTCGAGTTTTAACTGCAATTCTGTCATTTCCTATTTTACTTCATTATACTTTATTTTATTATATTTTTCTTTATTGTATTATATTTTAATTTATTCTTTTCTTTCCTTGCGGTAATTAACAATTTCTTACTCAAAAATATTATAGTGACACAAAGGAGTTTCATTATTTAGCCAAGTGGATTAAATCCGAAATTCTACATCACACAGATTAGAAATTTAAGAAATATTTTATTTTTATTATGTTAACATTTTTGAAGAACAACTGACGATGGAAATTTCTTCATGTTTTTCTGAACTTCTCCATAGATACTATCGTACATTATAATAATAATAATAATTAAGACTTGGTAATTTTTTCTTAACGATTTCTCGCAAAACAAAATTTGATACTCCCATTAAAAGGTTAGAAGAAGTATTTTATCATTTTCAATTTTGATTATTCTGTTGATTTTGAAATACTCATACACAGAAATAAAGCGTTGTCGTTAAATTGGTAATATATTCATTTAGCTACCTTTAGATACAATATATGTATTATTTGTTTCTATCCCATAGTATATGTTTTTGACTATATGGCCTGAATATAGTCATCCTTTGTAAAAAAGTGAGAACTTATAAAAATATTTTATTAATGTAGCTGTATAGATCAAGTATCAGTACATTTTGAACAAAAAGAAAAGGAACATTCTTTTTAAAAGTTATTTATTTTGCATTTCTAGATTCATACCAAGGAATTAATGTCAAATGCTTGTGAAAACTGTGAAAATGGAATTTGGAAGGAAGCTTTGGACTGGTATTACCAAAAGGAGGGTTCCTATGGGTTTTTAAGTAATTGTTTTTTGAAGGGATCTCGGGAGAAGAAGAATGAAAGAATATGTCAAGCTCTTTCTCCTATAAATAATACTTTAAATGACCTTTTACGTGATAAGAATGAATTAACAAAACTATCGAAATTATACTGTTTTAGAGAAAGTTCTGGAGATATTCTGGAACAATTGAAACACCACGGAAATCCACAATATAAACATGCTTGTGAATTTGTTAATGAGTGTCTTGATATATTTCGAGAATTAAAGGAAAAACATTGTCGAGGGAAAACCTTTAAAGTTAAAACCGGCTTAGATAGAAACTCTTCAGATTCTAGTTCCAATACTGTATGTTATCAATTAGAAGAATTTTTGGACAAATATGAAACGGTTCTTTATAAGGATCTAGAAGGACGAGGATATAAGCACAATAAAATGTCATCCCTAGAGCAGCACCCAGACGCAGCTCGAGTCCGATGTAACCTAGGCGAAGACTTGTACTACACTCCATTCTTTAACATATTCAAATATAACAGTCGTCGGCTTACCCCCTTTGGAAGTATCGTTTTTCTAATTTTTTCCATGCTTTTGATGATCCTGATGATGCATATTCTGGTTAAGGTAACGCGAGGCGATGGATTATGCGACGCCACCGTTTGGTCTGTGCCATGTCTATAGGGGGTATCCGGATATGTGCCTGCGTGTATGTATGTGTGTCTATTTGTGTTGTGTGTATGTACCTACACATATATACAGATGTATCTATATATGTATGTATTTCTTTTTTCCCTACCTGCAGTTCACCCCTATTGGAGATAGGATCCACCCTCGAAGGGCCCACGTCAGAAGAAAATGGAGAGACATACAAGCCGAAATTTACTACCCGAATAGTATGGGCTACTATGGTGATGGTAGTACGTATAGTGACAATAGTAGGTTTGGTGAAAGTAGTACGTCTGATGGAAGTAGTATGTCTAATGAAGGTAGTACGTTTTATTATAGTGCTCCTGATGGAAGTAGCATGTCTAATGAAGGTAGTACCTTTTATTATAGTACGTCTGATGGGAGTATTAGTAGCTTCGGGGAGAGTAATGAATCCGATGGGAATACTAGGTTTGATGAAACCAGCACGTTTGATGGGAGTAGCATGTCTGATTCCAGAAGTAGGTTTTATTATAGTTCGGATGATGACGGCTCGACGTCCACAGATGGCAGTTTTACTATTACTTACCGATCAGCCAGGCGTTAGCTGTGTCTGACGATTAGATGGGAAGAATAAGGGAGGCTTGTTCCCATGAGGCGCGCGAGGAGGCATATGAATAGGCGTTTGAGGAGGCGGCTTCTTAATAGGTACAGTGGTACAGAGAATAGATAATCGACCGTATGTCGCAACACAAAGGTCTGGAATACTAACGGCCTTATGCTTTGCATTATAAGTACAAACCACGTATATAAATGTATTAGTCATATAATTAGGTGTATAATAACAGGGGCCATGAGGAGGCTGTATTTTATATGTCACCAAGGGAGAATGAAAAAAAAAAGAAAAGAAAGACCATGAGAACACTTCTTCCATATGTTACCTTACAAAGAGAGTATCTTTCTAGTTTGCATGTATAGAGGTACTAGGAAAAAGCTAGAGAAAAACGCAGCACATTTGCTATTTGAATGTAAGACAGAAGAAAAGAACGGAAAAGAGAGGATAAGCAGAAACGAGGATTCACTTCGCTTACGCTGTTACGTGAAGAAAAGTAAGGATGTCGACTAGATCCGTTCCAAGGAGGTCACACAAATGAAAAGGAAAGGGTGAAGGGTTGTTTTATTCCAGAGAGTCGTTTTTAAACTGACTGGCGTCCGATCCTTTATGGGAAGTACGGTTAAAAGTGCCTGAGAATGGAAGAATTGTAACTTGCCAGAACAAGCCAGTCTTCGGGTGACAAAATGTTCCCGTAAAGGGGAATTACCAATCGTTCTGTTCATTCACTCCATGTTGCCAACCTCCCCGTTAGTGAATTTTTGGCAGAAATCAACTACAACAGTGTCAGCAAAGAAGAAAATAATCCTATTCCTGAGTGTCATATGTACCTTTCTGTACATTTACCCCCGTTTTTACAAGCAACATCTTGTGTAATTCTAAGAGGTGGCGCAAATTGCTAAATATTGTTGAATACAGATCTCCTCAGCCGAAAGAACGATACATGTGCATGTTTTTTTTTCCCCCATCGTAAGGTCTTTCACCAAATGGAAAGACGATATAAGAAGGTGGTGAGTAGTTGTTACACCATCATGAGTAAATTTACAGAGGAAATCACCATAGAAGTGAGTGATATGCATATATAGTACGATACCATCAGCTTCCGCTGATGAGCATGAGCAAGGAGTTATCTTGTCGCCATACGATACAGTATATGGACTATTGAACAGTTCTGGGAGGGGAAAAGAAAATTTCTTCAGGAGATGCAGGCATTTTATATATATATATGTCTATCTATATATAGGTATGTATGCCTTTGCGCCCTTGGACGGTACTACTTCTTGAAATGAAATTCCGTCGCACGAATTTAAAGAAGCTTATTTTACACGCTATAAGAAAATAGTACTAACACACGTGGAAGTTATAGGAAGAGGAAACAAAATAAAAAACGACCACATCCGATAGTAAGGATTTATTGCGACGTCATTTTTGTTGTATAAACAAATTAATGGGGGAAAAAAAGAAAAAGAATTTGCTTTTTCCCTTTTTTTGCACATTTCTGAAGCGAAAGTGTGTGATTGAGAAATCGGGGGAGAACACAAGAGGGCAAAAGATCATACAGCGTATCCTATCATGTACTAATAATATTTTATTGGGTAAAATTTCAGAAACGGTATGTATGAATCTTTTTAAACTTACCTAGAAAAAGGAGCGGGAGCGTGCGAAGAATCTTGATGTTCGCTTCCCCCGCCCACTTTCTTCCCACAAGCTTAACACACCAACTGTGCACCTGTATCCTGTGTCATCTGTGTATCTATGATCCATCCTTATTCATGTGGTTATTTCCAACACTTCGTCAAACTAATGCAGGATTACAAAACTTCCTTCATTATGTGCTACATATACCAGTTTATGATGTTGGATTATTCCCATCCTTCGTCTTAACATGTATATGGACGTATATGTAGATGTATATCTAGATGCATATCTAGATGTATATACAGGTGTATTTAAATGTTTATAGATGTGTATGCTCATGTATATGCATAGATATATAGATGTATATGCCGATGTATAAACCCCCTTTACCCTCATTAATATTGCTATATTCTTTTTTATAAAAATATGCCTAAACAGGTTCGTTTTATATTTATATCATGCTGTTCTCAGGAGCAAAGCATTTGAAGATGTGAAAAAATGGCGGAAGGGTAGAATGTGTTTTTACGCAAGAATAGACGCAGCCATTATGTGTTTTCACTTGCTTGTGTAACAATGTTTTTTTCTCTATTCGCAACTTTATAAGCCTCCTCTAATGGTTTGTTCGGGACCTATTTAAATTCTATGCTTTCTTTTTTTCTATGCTAAAGAGGATTATTACTTTATTTTCAGACGTTTACAAGGCGTTGTCTTAACTTCCCGTCGAGCGGTGCGTTATAATTCCTATGGTGCTCCTAAGGCCTATCATTTAAGTTCCAATCGCTGTTCTCAGGGGAAATCTATATTTTATTTAGGCATTCATCAGTAAAGTGGATTATGTAATTTATCTTTCTATGAATTCATCATTTTGTATGTTTTACATCTGTTGTGTTTTTAAATCATTGTGTATAAAAAAAATAAATCCCTTCTAATTATAAGAATTAAGCAGAAAAAAGTAACAGATGATTTAATTTTCTATATGCTATATCATAACGAGAAGTATATTCCTCAAAATTTTTTCTATTATAATTTCGTGAACTACTTATAATTTCGTAATAATCCATTACTTCACTAAGGTACGATAAATATAGCTGCCTGCTATTCATTTCTAATATAACTGACAGGAAGATGTTTAATATTAAAGTATCTCCTCAAAATAATATCCTTAAGAATAATTAGAAATAATTCTATTCGTCTCACACGAATAAGGAATTATTTTGTGATAAGCGAACACCTTTAATAGCGACGCTGTATACAGAAGTTCACATAATAACTTGTTTTGCGGGTTCAAGTGATTTACATGGAAATTTCATTTCGCTTAGGTTAAGAATCAATGCGTTTCACTTATTCTCAGTAAATATTACCTATCCCAAAAATTCATCATTTGCCTTCACTTTTCGTTATTAATAATAGCTATATATATATCTCTTGACACATTTTACTTAGATTGTGTACCTTATTCCTATAAAATCAGTGTAAGAAAAATTGCGCCCTATTGTAAACTGCAAATAAATAGTAAGCAGCTGTATCTCATTTTACAGAATACGGGAAAAAGTACGCAGCTCTTTTTTTTATTCAGTGGTATATTTTCAAAATTTCTTATCTGTTAAGGTACAGAAAATATCCCACTTATATCTTACCACTAAAAATTACGAAACGAAACAGTTTGTTTCTTCCACTAACACAACTTTCACCGCGCGACAAATGCGTACATTGTAACTCATGTATTAATAGTACACGTACATAGAAGAAAAAAAGAATATCGTGCTCTTATGTGTAAGGAGGTATATAAAAGAGAACCTCAAAATTTTATTTTCCGTGACGAAATAATTTCATACATGCAATGATGATCGAGCAAGAATTTATGCATACTATAAAAACACACTTTATACGATAAAAAATGCATTTGCCCTTTTATCCTACGCACACGTTATAGAAATTATTCAAATAAATATTATCCCAATTTTAGAACATACACTGATATTTCTCATTTATTTATTTTCTATGAAAGATTACCCACGATAAATAGTCATTTTATTCGAAAAAACGGTGAAGATCAAGTGTTGCATTTTCTACGGTATGACAATATTGAACTGCATTTCTCCAAGTAGCTTTACTTTTCGTGTGCTCAATGCAGTTATTTTATTACACTCCAAAATGGGCAAATAAATATCCTTCTAAATAGTGCTCTGTGAAATGTATTGTTACCGCTTTTTAAAATGTTCCCTTAGAAAAGAGCTACTCATTTCTCTTCAGTTAAGAGCAAAATAGATCTACATATCTCAACTTATGAGCTTCACTTTTCATAATAATCCATAGGTAACCATCTTCCAAATGCGAGAAAGTATATAAATTAAAGCATGTGCTCACTAACTAGTAAGAGAGGTATATCTAATTCTTTCTTTGTTCACTTATACGCATATATGTCTACTGCCATACAACCTTTACACGGCCCTCTGGTGCGCAATTTCGACATATGGTGGAAAGTGCCAAATATGCGGAAGAACTATTCATTCTAATAAAACACTTTACGCATTTCTCTCAATATCTCTAACTTGGCTGTGTTTAATTAAGCTGAATCGCTTCACCAGAAGGCAGCCTCACTGGTGGCTACTATTTAACCCCCTTCTCCATTGTACATACACGCCTTCCCTACCATCCTAAAGCTTGTCACGTTAGCAATTTATGGTACACGTTACGTTATGCACGAATCCGTGTTGATTGAATCATCAATAGGTCGTAGATGTGTAGTACAATGCAAGGATGAATGTGTGGAACTAAATTCTGTTTTGCATAAGACCCAGGAAACGAAAGGTACATATTCACGTAATCGATAGGTCTTATTTTACCCCTGCCTGATTTTTTCTCATGTGATAGGTGTGATACATCAATTAGAGGAAAAAATATTCCAGTGACAGCGCCAAATGGGAAAGGCTCGTGGAACAATGAAGGTGTAAAAACTATTGTACCAAACAAGTGAGAATGAAGACAAATTGATTTTCCTGTTAGCCATTTCAGAACTGCGCGCTTAGTGCAATCCTAAGAACATTCTTGAAATTTTCACTGGGTAAGCGTCCTGACCGAGAAAGGGGCCACTGAAGGTATAAAGCGTTTATCAATTCTGCTTCATTGAGGTTTACATAATAGTAGAAATTGGTATTCCCGTTTAATGGAGGTATTAGCAGTATAAAAAATATGCATATAAAAGGCTTCAGTAAAATATTAAAAATATCATAGCATGGCATAGAAGAACATATGAAAGTGTTCATTTTTGTAGATATCGAATTGATGAAGTCACTATTTGATGAAATAACGTGGGACATCAATTAACACAAAAAGAAAATGGAGTATCCAATAAATACATACTCAAACAAATATATACCATATGTATATTTATTTGCCAACTTATTTATTAACTGTGATAAAAGGGAAAAGTTTAAATAAACATTGTGAATTGTCCATTAACCAATGCGCATGTAAGAACATGCATTATATACGAAAATATTCCCATATGTACAAATCAGTTGAGTAGGCCAATTTGTGTCTACTAGAAGCGATTCGGCACACGGAAAAATCCGACGCAACACTTTGAAGCTTCTAAAATGAAAACAATGTATAAAACATATATGGGTTATACAAAATACGTAAAAATCAAAAAAGAATTAATTAATTTTATACATTATAAATAATAAATAAAAAAACGAATAAATAAATTAATGTGAAAACAAATTACTATCCGTGAGGCAAACAATTTCACGCGATGCCCCATGATTTCATAAAAAGCACTGCACACATGAACACACTTCTCGGGCATAACTTCCCTATAAGTATATTCCCTTACGCATTCTGTATTTTCTTTCAACCTTGAAGCATTTGAAACGTCTTTTGTATTTATCAATAAAATCCAGGTGCCCCCTATTATCCAGATACAGAAATATTTGGAAAAGAACCTCAATAATCATGACAACAGCAAGGATAAAAGATAGCTCCAATACAAACTGAATCATTATGTGTGATACTCCGGCTGCAGTACCCGCAGCGGTGCCATCAACTACTGCGGTACTTATAACTTCTGTAGCTTCTTTTGCAACATTCGCTGCACAAGTTACACTCGACCTTACGGATGACATGATGCTGCCCCAGCCCCCTAAAAAGATTGTCATAATATTACCTATCGCTTCAACTGCACAATTTCCAGTTGATACCGGCACACTGTGTACATTCTCTATTGCTGTACCTAGACCAGTTGAAAATCCTGCTAATTGAGTATCTATTATAAGACTTATTCGAGCTAACTCAACATATTTCATCACTAGGAATGGTAAGGCGATTACTGCCAATGCCCCTGGAATACCATATTTGGCCACTTTTTTTATAGTTTCTCTTATATTCCGTTTGGTCATTTTTTTTGGTAGTTCCTTGACACTTTTGATAAGAGGTTCTTCTTTCTGTCTTCTATCCGATTTTGTGTTTTTTTTCCGTGGTTCCATGACATTTTTCATAAGGGTTTCTTCTGTCTCTTCATATACCGAATCAACGGCTGCCATATCAACTTCATTCATTGTCTGTAAATCCTCTAATAATTCAACCTTTATTTCGCCATCCTTAATGTGTCTATATAGAACCCAATCTTTTTCTTTCGATTCTAGATCTTTATTCTTCATCTTATCATCCATGTATATATATAAGGTGCATTTTTTTTCCTTTGGCAATATTTTTTCCTTTGCAAATTCCTCTGCCTTTTGGATTTCTCTTTTTTCTTTCAACACTTCCTTCACATGTTGTAAACCGCTCTTTTTATCACTATGAATTTCTTTAAATAAACTATTCTGACACGTTAAATATAACTTATTCGCATATTCATCAACTATCGTTGACTTAGGTTCAATGGGTGTAAACCCATCGTTATTTAGGTTATTAATCCTTTTAAATAAGCTATTTTCCTCTGTTATATACACACCATTGTCATTTTCAGGTTTTGATTCCAACCTATGGCTGCCCAATAAACCGCATTCATATAGGTACTGCATCTTTCTATATAAACTCTTAGTGCACGTTAAATACATTTTGTTCATTAGATGCTCATTTTTCATCAATTCTTCCCTACTCAGCAAATCAATTAAATTTCTAGATATATCCTTTGCAAACAATTTCTGTGTGTCCATTCTGTCAGCTGTCTTCACAGAACTATCTTCTACTTCCAATTTCTCCTGGGCCGATCTGCCAATTTGGTCAGTAAAGCCATCTTTGATGTGCAATGTCCGCTGATAAAGCGTGTCTTGCTTCTTACGCAGGGCATCTTTTCATAACGTTTCACCGTCCTTCATATAAGGAGAGTTTTCCTGAAAATTATCATCCCCTGTTTCTGTAAAATCACTTAATACGTACGCTTCTCCCGATAAATTCCCCCTACCTCTAACAGGACCTACAGAATCCATATCTCCTTCTAACTTGTTCCTTTTTCCATATATAACGTTGCTTTACAGATCGCATTCGTCTATACATTTTATTACCTGTTGTTATATAAACTCCTCCTCTAGATAAATCCTCATGAGAACATTTATCTCTTCTTGCATCATACGCATAATCATACGTTGGCTGTCCGGAGTTTCCTCTTGGTGTATAAGTTCTCTTTCCTTGCTTTAATCTTTTATGCATATTGTTTTCGCTTGTTATGTAAATATATTTCTCTGAGTTATCTTCTTTTTTCGTTTCCATGCTTTTTCTTATATCATCTAAGAAATCAACATTGGGTTCACCACTTTTGTGCGAGTATAGTAAACTTCCCCTTACAGACTTCATTTTGTTATGAAAATTTCCTTCTGTTTCCATGTAAACTCCTTCCAGTAAGCTATCTACTTCCGATGAATCATATTCTCTATATGCATCATCTCCCGTTGAAGAAGAATATGCCGTCTACGATTCCTCACCGGAACTTACATCCCGTCTTCGTGTTGAATAATCTGAACTTCTATCATCCTCTACGCTAGAAGAATCATCCTTCCTCGAGGATTTTTCATTAGTTGTTGTACTAACCTCACTTGGCGAGCTATCCTTTCGGAATACTCCCTTTTTAGGGACCGAATAAGTGATACTAACAGAATCGTCCGTTTCCAGTTCTTCCTTTTTAGTAATTACATCTCCTGGTACTGTAGTATTAACTGTTTTCCATACTCTCTTTCTGGTGTCTATAGGACGTGAACTGAAAGAATCATGTTTTTCGTTGAACTTCTCCTTACTAACTGCATCAACGGAACTCAAGAAATCACCTTTTTTCAATGATTTCTTCCTAGTATTTATTTCAACTGAGCTCAAAGACCTATCATTTGGTGATAATTTTTCCTTAGAATTTGCGTCAATTCTTTTCAAAGAATCACTTTTTTCTGTCGGGTTCACTGTATTCATTACACCCTGTTTCGCTGCCCAGGGAACTCCCTGTAGTACTTCCCTTTCGGTGGCAGTTTCATTTTTTTTCATGAAATCTAATATTTCCAAAGATTCGTTATTTTCCGTTATATTGATTTTCTTAGTACATTTAACTTTTGGTAATGTAGCACCTATGGTAGTTCCCTCTTCATCATTCTTCATAGATTCATCTATTCCGAATAAACTATTTTTAGGTGCTACGACATCTTTCTTTGGTGAATGTTCCTCGTGTGTCCATTCGCCTTTTTCTGTTACATTAACTGTTTCTTCAAATTCGTTTAATTGTAATTCTTCCCCTTTGATAGCTTTTTCCCTTTCTACAGATTCGTACGACATATATATACCACTATTTCGAGATAATTCAACTACCTTCGCGGAATCAGCTTTTTTTGGTACTTCAGTTTTACGAGCTTCTGCATCTCTCCTTATAGATTCGTATAATTTGAATGAAGAACATTCGAAATTTACACCTGCTTTATTTATAGCATCAATTTGCTGATCTCCTGCAGATATCTCCTTAACATCAACTTCATCTGTAGTATCATCTCTTTGTATTGATTCCATGGTAACCGCTATTGCATCATCTTTCTTACTTGAACCCCTTCTATTTTCAGATACGTTGTTTTTGTGTGTCTCAATTCTTGGCATCTAATCATTGTTTTTTAGAAAAATGGATTTATTCTTTATTGGAATTTTATTCAAATAGTGCGCTTTACTTATTAACATCTTACCGTCTAAATTAGAATCATCACTCAATAGATCAGACAGAAACATACACAACTCATCCAATTGTTTGTTCGATATGGGTTGATCGCCCAGTAAAATATTTTTTAAATCTTCTAATTCGGACTCATTGGCCAGTTCATTTCGTACTATAATATTTTCTAACTCTCTTAGTATGGTCAACCCAGATAAGGTATTGGCTAGCAGGTTTCTGCTTAACACTTTTAATATTTATTCATTTTCCAACTCGCTGCCCAGTGAAATATCTTCCAATTGGTTCAACATCATTTCCTTTACAAAAGGATTGTTTAATACACTATCCTTCAATGACTTCAATGCGATTTCTGTTTCCTTTGGATTGTTTTGTACTTTCCTTTGTCCATTTCCTACTTCCTTTGACCCTTTTTCTAACAAAGCATCCTTCACTGCTTTCCAAGTCGATTCGGTCATTAGTCTACTGGTTGTTATAGCATTTTCCAATCTGTTCTATTTACTTTCTATTACCTTAGGATTTTGTAATACCATCTCCTTTAACACATTTATGATGCGCTGCCTACTCACGTCATCTCCAAACAGTACATCTTGTATATCACTCAAGGTTAATTTATTTGTATTATCATTATTACGGAAAGAACATTCTTTTAACTTCTGTGATTCTTCAATTTGCTTCGATAAACGTGGCTTTTTTTTGGTGTTAATTTTCTGCTGCGCAATTGTTCTATAAGCTGAGTCCAGGATTACACCTTGCTCTTGTTTCTTCTCATGGTGATTAGCACAGATACTCTAGAAAAAGTGGTTTCAACACGTAGAAATATGTAAATTCGTAAAATGTGCGTGTCAGATAGACAGTATATATGTACAATGTCTATGTGCACATAATTATATGTTTATATAACATGCGCATTTTTAATATATCTTTTAATTCTTATGCAGGATTACATAGTGGAAACAAAACAAAAATATATCTTATGAGGATGAATACAAAACTCTTTATTAACCTAGGGAACATATTACTTTTACTTTCTTATAAGGTTTCTTTTTTAGTCTTCATGGTTTATGAAGAAACTATATTTACTTATATATTTATTAATATGGTTACGTATTATTCTATCACTAACATTGTATATTTCCATGATCATATATATACATATGTATATGTGTGTTACATCATTTTTTTGCAATATTAGCATACATACATTCAAATTTTAATTTTAGTAGTACTAAATCTCATGTACTACAAATAATGGAATACTCTTAAACACAAATATTTTATGAAGACATATTTGGACATAATTTCAGAAATTAATACTTTAAAATTTTATTATAGGAGTCCATATTATTCATTCATGAATTTCTTCCTAGAAAGAATAATTTTCGAATATTTCATGAAAATTATAAAAATTCTCCTTTACTACTAGTTCTTTCTTTCACTTAATTTATAATAAATACAGAAACTGCTATATCTTGTAATCAACTGAAACTAAGAAATTGCTCAAGAAAAAAAAACAGAATAATAAACATTTCGATGAATAATTGGTAATATATTACATTTTAATTTTTATACTCAATAAAATAATATCTTCAAAAAGTCAAATTTCTGAAATACAATCATCGCGTCCTAATGAGTGATATTTTTATCACTTCTGCAACAAATAGTATAGAATGGAAAAAAATTATAAGGATTAAATGGCATTAATAATATAAGTTTCACTATGACTAATGCTACAAAAATATTGCAATAAAAATATAAAAATTCCTTTATATGCATTTATAAAATTTTGTTTAAAATATAATTAAAAAATGCAGGAGAAATTTTGGGTATAGAATTAATTATGTATCTACTCATCCGCGATCGTCGTTACTATACGCATATATATATATATGCTGTGTAATTTACATAAAAAAGTCCCTCCCCTTTATTTCATCTTGAATCACAATCATTGTAGCAGAAAGTGGGATCAAGATGGCGAGATATTTGAACCTACAAAAATCCGTTCTCACCACTCAATCTTGTTATTTTATATTCTATGGTTTGAGTTTTCCTTTTCTCCTTTTATGCTTTACCCAAATGCACGAAGTGAAAAAATATTGTTAGTCACATTCATACATGTGAAAAAGCACGTAACTAATTAAAAGAGAAAGGATAACGTGAATGAAAAGAAATACGACTTCCTAATGGACAAGGCACATATTTTCGTAATTATAAAAACATGTTTCTTCCTAATATTATTTGGATAAAAAGAACTAAACAACATGTTCGTTGTGATTTTATAACCAGCATAAATAATGAGTGAATTCGTTATTTAACGCATTCCTGAAAAACTACGCTTTCTTTAAAACTTTGCCCATCATGAAATTACCTATTGCAGAAATTTTGTAGGGATCCCTTTTATTATTAGAAAAAAATACATCATTCTATATTCTCATAGGTGCCTTGCACTGTAAGTAAAAAAACAGTAGAAACGTAGGAAACCGTATTCAACATAGTAATATAAGATTTCTCAATTTTTCATGAACAGAAAAAGAAAAAAAACTTTTACTGTATTAGTATATACTAATAATTCTCCCCAAGATAAAAAAAAAAAAAAAAAAAGAAAAAATATACCTTACTCTCATGATGTAAAAAAAGTGTACATATAACGATATTCTATATCTATATGATTAATTACTCTGAACATTTCTATAGTGTAAGATACTACTTTGCAGTCGTTTAATTAGTCTATACAGAAGATTGTTTTTAATAAGAACTCACTATTTATTTTTAAGAAGGACGCGAAAAATGAGCTCCCTATTTCGTGAAGATTACTATTGTATGTAGGTTATGTACGCTTTTGTTTTGTTATACAAAGAAAAATCCGCTAAATGTTGAATTTTTTTTCTTTTCAATCATTTAATGACAAAACGGTTTTCGACGCAGCACATCGTTTCGGTTCACCGTTGAGAGTTTAGGTCTAGGGCTGAGGTTTATGGTTTAGGCTTTAGAGCTCAGGATTTATCTCAGCCTAAGAAGTAAGCATTTAATAAATCAATGAAATAGAACGGGAAATACAATTCAGATGTCAAATAGGTAGCACAAATTGTTCGGTGATATGACGTGAAATGTAACGCGTAAATTAACTTACAGAAGACATAGGCAAAATAAACTTAATGCATATTTATTTACAAATAAATCGGGATACTAATTAGCAAGAAAATGGGGTTGTTCAAAATCATCTTACTCACATGATTGCTATAGATATAGCACTTCACCCATCTAAGAATGCATATTCCTTTTCGCAACATTCTGTTTATTCACCCCTCATCCTTATCTTCTAAATTTTCGATATGTCTCTTTTTGCTCAAACGCATTTTTATGGCGCCACTTCGGATTCCTCTGTTGCAAGCATAATCAAATGTTTAATACCGAGTTGTGAGAAAGGTGGGGCATTAATTTCCTGAAACCTCGAAGGATACGTACATCTGAGCATATCTTTCCGTGTTGACGAAAATGAATAAGTCTATTTTTCCATTATTGAACCCTTTTGTTACAGTCCCTAAAAAGGAAATCATGCGTTGCTGCGAAGAATAAAGCATAGCTAAATATAGCTATACTGCGAATTAAGCAAAGTGAATCGAAGCGCGGGGACCTTTATTCAAACCTCTGAAACGTGTAATCCATATTCAGTTAATTTACAACTGAGGGTTACTAATTTATGGAATAACTCCTACACTCCCCACTAGAGAGTTCACATTAACCAGTTCTAATGTACGAAGTAGGCATCCCTATTGTAGTACCTCGCACTAGTGTAGCCTCTCTCAAAACTACAAATTCAATTTATACATGGTCATTTTTTGGAAAATTCACTTACAATCTAAACGATCCCCTGCAACTTGTTAAGTGTTAATAGTAAAGGGAAATATGAGAAATATATTACTTACGCCTGCAGTTTTGTACGAATCAGTAAAATGAACCAACACCGGCATAGTATTTGATAGAATGATAATAATGCGTAGTTTTAGCAACATGGGCATGCCTTACTTGTGCTCTGAGGTAGTTCTCTCATATTTGAAAAAAAAAAAAAAAAAAAAAAAGGGGGAATTGTCCTTTGGGGACTCCTTCCCTTTATGCTCCTTCTTGTCGTACAATACCCTTTCGCATCTGTCATAATGTAAATGTACACATTTTACCCCCCCGTCACTGAAATTACTCACATATGTTTAAAACAAAGATACAACCGAGGTTATGATACAGGCGAGTCCCTTGAACAATACCTCCGCGCGAAAGGGTGACAAGCAAATATTTGTTTTCGACATCACGTAATTTAACTCCTGACAAAGCATTGGGACGTAATTTTTGAGAAACGAATAAAAAGACAACTTGGTATCTGCACCATAGGCAATATTTTCAAAATATGAATCATTTGCTTGGCGGTTGCAAATCAGTAAAGGAAAAATTGAATGCAGAAACTTTGTCTACTATCCAGCGCAGAAGAAATAATCTAAAAATTTATTTTGAAAAAGTTATAAAGAGCAGAACATCAAAAACAGGTATGAAAATATTGCGCAGTTGTTATGAAACCTATCACACTGACATGCAATCCTCCATCAGGCATTTTAAATGGTCTGAACATTTATTCTCCCCATTTAGGATGAAACTTTGATAAATATCGCTTGTTTAGTTTATCCATTTTTTACAATTTAGGACTAAAAATTTTTTCAGCAAAGAAAATGTTATCGTGTGGTTTTCTCATTTTATAGGAAACCTTCGTAAATAGGACACTCGTCTGCCTCCCACATCGGATGTACTACTGCAACAATGTGATCTTTTAAATAAAAAATATATTTACATGATATTACCCTTAACCCCCTATATGGAGGTACAACACGTGCTCAATAGGAGACACCTAACGGGTAGCATCTATGCATAGAAGTGGCAACACCTGAGGATTCCTAAACTGTATATCGGAAGCCTATGTTATTGAATTGTATCCTACATCTGTATAACCACCATAATTCCTTATATATACCGGTGTCGTCTGTTATGTTTTCTCCCTAGGAAGTTCACGTCTTCGAAAAAGTAATCCCCCAAAAGAAGTGTCCAATTTGAAGGGGATATGTTAATCCCTTTCTTCTTTTTTTTTTTGCCAAACCCTTGGTTAGTTGTCCCTCTCATTTAATGTTTTCTTCACGTGATTCTATTAGGCATACAAAATTTGCAGATTGTCTGTGTCCGTATTGGCATAACGTGCAGTAGCATTATCCATCTAACAGAATTTCAGTCTGTACAGCATGTTTAGTAATGCTACCTATTGTATTATCATAACATGAGTGTATCCGCTGCTTATTTTCTTTTCTGCCTTTATATATCTATGCATACATGATAAGTGGTTTAACTGAAGTCTATTGTTATCATAATGAATAGGAAGAAATGATCTGAAAAAAAAGGATCAGCGATCTCCTCACAAGTTACC